TATTATTATTTTTTGTTTGTGTATGAGTGTATTGCCAGCATGTAAGTGCACCTGTGTCATGCAATGCCCACAGAGGTCAGAAGAGGGTATCGGATCCCCTGGAACAGTTATTAGCTGCCATGTGGGTGCTGGGAACCGAACGTAGGTCTTCTGCAAAAGCAGCCACTGCTGTTAAACACTGAGCCATCTCTCCAACCCCAGTATTGTTCTGTTAATGTGCATTTAGATCACATTCTGTCTTTGTTTTGTTTTATGGGTCACCTTCACATTATTAACTAGGGTATTTGAAAGTCTGACATTCTAGGAAGCTGAGCAGGTGGATTTTGTGGTTGTGCTGTGGTAATTACTTCTTTACAGCACTGAAAGCTAGAGACTGTCACAAAGCTGATCCCCTGCCCTTTCTGCAGGAGGTTTCAGTGTGACACATCATCTTGGGGAAAATGTAGCAAGGGGTGTGAAACTGGAGGCTGGAATAGCAGCCCTTTAGCCCTTTTGTGGGATGGGAGTAAATATTTAGACACTGTTCTCAGGTGCTATAGAAATTAACAGCAACCTTGTAGCAGTTTCAGAAGCTTTCCTTGTACCCACTGGAACAGGTTTGCTTAATTGAAGAACCTTACTTCGGCTCTTTTGAAGCTGTGATTTTCCCTAGAGACCTGCCCTGGCCTCCCTCTGCATACAGGTCCATGTGTAGGACCTCTGCCCATGGGGCTGGCATCTTTGCCCTACCTTGTGTCACACTTTTTGACCTATATACCTCATTATACTCACTTCTGATATGCCTGGGTTTTGAATCACATGATGAGTCTCTTCGTGAAAGAGCAAACCACCATCTTTTTATTTTTTATTTTAAAAAGAATAAGGTTTGGAGAGCCTGCTCTACAGCCTGCCTCAGTTTCTCTGGGGGGGGCAGTGCAAAATATGGAACACTTCACAAATTTTCATGTCATTCTTGCCCAGGGGCCATGCCTATCTTCTCTGTATCGTTCCTATTTTAGTATATATGCTGCCAAAGCTAGCACTTTTTTTTGCTGTTTTGAGACAGGGTCTCCCTGTAACCCCAGGTGGCCTGGAACTTGCTATGTAGACCAGGCTGACCTTGAACTCAAAGAGATCTGAGTGCCTCTGCTGGGATTAAAGGCAGTGCTACCACGCCGGGCAAACCTCCATCTTTTGATCTCCTCCCTTAAGGCAGGACTGTTTTGGTGACTAACATTCAGCTTGTCACTGGACTAACCATTTGTACTTTGATCTCAGAATTAATTTCTATTCTCCTGTTTGTTTAGGCATCAAAGTTGTCTAGCTTGTTTGGATATGGTTGCGATTTGGGTAAATGGCACTGCTCGTCCATGTTTGCCATTGGTTGGGCCTCTTCTGATGTTTTGGAAAAGCTGCTGCACTCCTTTGTGGATAAATGTGCACGTGTCCATGGCCTTGCACCAGGCTTATCTGTTGACTCAGAAGGTTCTGTATAGAGTCTCTGCCTAGGTGAAAGTCCCTCCTGGCTTCCTTTGAGGAAGTTGGGGGGAGTATAGATGGGAAGGTATGAGACTAAGTCTTCACACTCAGTCTCAGAAGTTGAACTTCCTAGTGGCACAATGACTCATTATAAAAAAAAAAGAACTCCTAAAGAATGAGATGATAGAGGCTGGAGAGATGGCTTAGCTGTTAAGAGCACTGACTGCTCTTGCAGAGGACCAGGGTTCAATTCCCAGCAATCACAGGGCAGCTACGAACCGTCCTTAACTCCCGTTCCAGGGGAATTCAAAGCTCTCTTCTGACCTCCACAGCATTGCACGACATAGGCGCACTCACATACTTGCAGGCAATACACTCATACACATAAAATAAAAATAATAAATAAAATATTTTTTAAGAAAAAGGAGATAGTAAGTCAGGGGTGGTGGCTCACACCTTTAATTCTAGCACTTTGGAGGCAGAGACAGGTGATCTCTATGAGTTTGAAGCCAGACCAGTCTATATCGAAAGTTCCAGACCATCTAGGGCTACATAGTGAGAACTTGTCTTAAAAAAAAAAAAGGCTGGGCGTGGTGGCACACACCTTTAATCCCAGCATTTGGGAGGCAGAGGCAGGCAGATCTTTGTGAGTTCAAGACCAGCCTGATCTACATGGTGAGTCAGCTGGGACTACAGGGAGACCCTGTCTCAAAAAAACAACAACAAAAAAGGAGATTAATATAGTAACTGTTCTTGAGCATTTACCAGTTCAATTGATGATCATTTCTTCAGTGAACTTGATCTCTCTCTGAGGCTTAGACTCTCCAACTGTGCATGAACTAGAAAATCACTACAATTTTCTCCTATTTTAGAATCCTATATTTGAATTAGTCAACCTTCTGTCACTATAATGAAATATCCAAGGCAGAGTTATCTTATTAAGAAAAAGATTTGTTTTGGTTCATGGATCTGGAGGGTCCAGTCCAAGATGAGTGGTACATCCTGACTGGAGCACTTGGTATAGCAAAAGTACTTACATTATGCTGTAGGAAGAAAGATGAGGATGAGACTAGTGTCCTCGAACCCTCTTTGATGGCAAACACCCTGTGACTTGAAGACCTCTCACAAGGCCCACTTCTCAAATGTTGCACCACCTTTCAGTAGTGCACCTCTGGGCCAAGCTTTTAACACATGGACCTGTGAGGAGCCATCATTCAACCCATAGCTCAGTTCTAAATGCTCATCTGTTTGTTACAGAACAAGAGAAAACTTTCTGCAGAATTGGCATGTTTTTCTCTCTTGTCTGTTTCAAACTAAATGGCTTAAGAATGATTCCTCTAAAGTGACATTTCTTGACCTCAGCACTACTGACATTTTGGATAATTCTTTGGATTGTCCTGTGCATTTTGCAGCATTCCTTGGCCTCTAGATAATCCAGTATGTCTCCACTGCCTGCCAGTTGTGACAGCCAAAAATTTCCAGAGACATCTATGTTTTTCCCTTAGGAAAAATTGCTTTGGTTGGGAATCATTCATTGGTTCAGAGGGACAAAAGTGGGACTCCGAATGTGGACAGTTTTTATGATCAGTTTTCATGTTGTTCCTCTGCTGTTTATTGCCTGCTTTATCAGTAAGTTTGTATTCAGTGCTTTGTGCAGGTGAATGCCAACACTTAATTATGAGGGAGTTCAATGATAATACCAAGTTTTGAAATACCAGGTGAAACTAACTGACTTTGAAGTGATCTATATAGCTATCAGCTCAGTCATCCCTCCCACTCATCTGATTACTTTAGCCTGCTGTTACCCCTTGCTGAGGTAGTGATTGATATGCATAAAAGCATTTACTTGCAGAGACTATCGGGCCAGTAATGTGAGTTATGGTTGGGAGTGGGTCTTGTGCATCTAGACTCTAGTGTTATGATCAGCCTTTCAGTTACCTGGGATAAGAAACTAACTTGCTGTGGGGACTAATTTCATGTGTCAGTTTCTATGTCACCTTTCTTTAGTGGCCTCTTCTAAAAATCCATGATTCCCCTCTCCCCGTGCTCTCATTGCATCTTCAGTATTTTTTTTTTTTTGAGGATATGAATAGACACTGGTTATTACAGCGAGGAAATTAAAGCTTTAATCTGAAGTAACTTGAAAAATACCTGAGAGCTGAATGTCCCCAGAAGGAAGAGACAATCAGTGTCTGCTGGCAAAGTTCGCACCTATGACCTGAAATGAAGTCAGTACTAGGAAAGCAGTATAATTATAACGTCAGGTTTTGAAACGCCAAGTCTACCAGACTGCTGACTTTGCCTGCTTTCCTGGCTGTTTATGTGATCACCCCTCTGTACAAACTGACTCCCACCAGCCTGCTGCTAGCCCTGGACGCATGATTGAAATATATTAGATTTTGCAAGAGGTCCAACTCTTCTACTTGTTAACATTTGCTATACCGTGGCAGTTTAGGAATAACTTCGAATTTTCTTCTACTGACTCAACCTTCCTTCTCTCTTTAAATCCATGGTTTTCACTGGGTCAGGTACAGAATGGTGCCAAGTCAAGTCGACTGTGCCCGGTGGGCATCTTTGCAGGGATGCTCTGGGATTCCAGGGCCACGATTCTGATACTTAGGCCAGTGTTAGTCTGTATACTGGGGTTCTGGCAGGCTCTGCCTTCCATTCCAGCTGAGCCTTTGCTAGAGTAATTGCCCACATGGAGCCTTCAAGCCAAACAATTGTTTGTACTGAGATAGTCTCACTGTTTGGCTCTCATGAAATAACCTCCTTCCTGCCCCCAATGAAAGCAGCTATTTTTTTCTTTCCTCCCTCCCCTTTCCAGAGAAGCATGTTTCAGCCACTACTCTTCTAGCTTATTCGTAAATGCTTTAAGTAGGGTCTTTGTGTAGAGGAAACTCGCTATAGCCAGAATATCATGAGCTAACCAGGAGTCAGGGGACATCATGGACACCCATTCCCCTGACCTTCTCCATAGCATATTTAGATTGATTTTGTGTGATTTTTCTGTAAGTCATTAAAGATTTGCATAAAATATTCCTACTAGGTTTTAATTAATTAATCAATTACTTTTTAAAAAATATTTTATTTATTATTTTTGTTTGGGGTCTGAAGAATTCCCTGAATTGACCACTTGGACACAGAGACTCAGGAAAACTTAGCTACTTTATTGAGACTGACTGGCCGGGGATGTGGGCAGGCTCAGGAGCTGCACTGCGACCCAGAGCTGTAGAAACCCAGGACTTTTAAGCACAAAAACCACAGAGCAGGGGATTTCTATAGAAACCATAAACAGAAGAACCAGGAAAGGATTTAAACAATCTAGGGCTGATTTCCAGAGTCTTAACCTATACAGCCATTGGCTAGCTTACCTGGGGCAGAATGTTCTTCCTCTCCTGCCCCAGACTATTTCCATAGAAACCATAAACATGTATCAAGAAAGGGTTTGAACAATGGAGGGGATTTCCAGAGTCAGGCAGAAGGCAGCTCTTTCTTAGAGGATGGGGGGTTCTGAGGGGCACTCTCCTTCATTTTTATTTTATGTGTATGCGTGTATTACCTGCATGTAGGTGAGTGCACC